TAAATATTTTAATATAGTGTTTAGAATTTTAAAGAAGGATGTAGTGTGATATGCAACTTAGCCAAATATTTTGTTTTTTTGTAAAAATGTATTTTTTTTTGTCTATAAGTTTCACTTCTGCAATTTCACTTTTCATCTAATTTATATCGTCAATGTCAGTCAGTGGCTGCCGACACGGAAACATATTATCCGTAATCGATACGACTGAAAATCGATCGGTTTCAAGGAACGATTATTGTGTCTGAGGAAGAGGAACGTGTATAATTGCCATCAACGGTTTGAACGAGAAAGTTACAGGTTGAAATCAAGTCGAGGAACGAAGCAACTTCGTGCAGGTTATTATTAAAAACATTCTAAAAATTGTGTTACTATAACGCGTTGCCGCCATTAGAAGAATTATGTAACGCTTTAAGCTGGCCAGTCTGGCTGAGTTGACGAGAAAAGATACGTCAATGGCCAGGGGGAAATTACTTTTCCGCGCTTGCCCGTTATTTTTATCCTGAGTACTGTTTTATGCCGTTTCCACCGTTACGGTTTAACAAAAACCTACCTCTCTCATCGAGGTTTCCGAGTAAACGTTCCTATGGACAGTTTGCTTTGCGATTTTTAGAATATTTAATTTCATGTCAAACATTAAGCTTCTTAAACGTTTATGTTGTTTGTTAATAGAATAATTAGAAAGAATGAAGCAAATTATAAAAATTTAGAATGGGCAGGAACATAATTGAGACGATTACTAGAATGATAATATCATTTTGTTCTCACGAATGGCGATACACAATTACTGGAAGTCGGTGTTCTCAGTTTTATCAGTTTACTTTCATCAAGTATCACCCTAGATAATTGTAACATGATACTGCCTTATGATGAACGTCATGGTGAAGTTTTTCTTCCTATCAGTTTCATGAAAATTTTGTAGCATATTATTACTAGATTAAAAATTATGCAATTATTAGTATAGTATTAATATCTGTATTAGGTGTTACTGAAATTTGTTAACAAAGTCCCACTTCTTAATCGATATCCATTTCTTTTCTGCCTAATAGAGCCAAGATAAATTAATGAAAAAATCAGGGGATCATACTCACATTGGTAAAGTTGAAGACAAAGTACAGATATAATCTTACCCCCAAAAAGACCAAACAAAAATCGAAGTGTTAAAAACTAGAAGAAAAGGAACATAAAACTAATAGATGTAATATACATATAATCCTATTGAAGAAAAATATGATTGACCTCGAATCTTAGAAAAACGACCTTGACTAAAAAAATTCTCTCTGAATCAAGTATTATTTTTATACCTTAATATAATAATAATACCACACTGCATAGGCTATAACTATAAATATTATATTACTAGTCTCAATTACATAAATTATTAATATCCACATTCAACACACATTACGCTATTTTTTCAATGCATATAGAAACTCGATATTCTAGTTTTCTTCCCTGTACATACAAGGATATCATAGTTATAATGCTTATTATATCATACTGCAGGAATGAACAAGTACAAGAGGTTCGGATCATTTTAAAGAAAATCGTGCATGTCGAGGGCCAACCGACGAGAAAATTACTGCTTGGATCGCAGTCACAGAAACGCAGCTTTAAATACCACAATAACCACGTTAAATCGTCAATTTAACTGCCTCGAGAGACTAGAGTTTTTATCGCGTGACTGACATCGAGTACAGCAAATATTTGTCGTCCAGTTCTTCAATTGACGTCACACCTATTAGGAAAAGGGGTGTTTTACATGGAAAAACAAAACCATAAATTCTTCATATCATAAAGTCAGAAATACGTCGAACATAATTTTCAACGGTCAACTATTGACTAAGGGCAGTTGTCAATGTCAATGTCCCAGTGATGATCGAGCACCACTGTTTGTTCCGCAATTTCGACACGTTCGCCACAAGCAAATCACTGGTGACCACCGTTGATGGCCACCTTGCTTGTTTATTACATAATGTTGGCCGACGGTTCTGCCACGCCAGATATACTTGTTTTCCGCAGAAACGGTTGCGCCAAGATTATCTGCT